CTGTGACCTTGAAAGAAGGTCAAGGTCATTTTCATTCTCAAACTTTGTCGGGCTCTATCCAAGGAAGCCATCAATCAAAAATAAAGATTCTATACCTTTCAGTTCTTCAGAAGAAGTCATTTGAAGCTTTTGACATATATGACCCCTGTGACCTTGAAAGTAGGTCAAACTAATTTTCATTCTCAAACTTTGTTGGGCTCTATCCCAGGAAGCCACCAGCCAAATATAAAGATTCTATACCTTTCAGTTCTTCAGAAGACGTCGTTTGAAGTGTTTGACACATTTGACCCCTGTGACCTTAAAAGTAGGTCAAGGTCATTTTCATTCTCAAACATTTGTTGGGCTCTATCCCAGGAAGCCATCAGCCCAATATGAAGATTCTATACATTTTTGTTCTTCAGAAGAAGTCGTTTGAAGTTTTTGACATATTTGACCCCTGTGACCTTGAAAACAGATCAAGGTCATTTTCGTTCTCAAACTTTGTAGGGTTCCTACCAACTAAGCTTTCAGCCAAATATCATGACTCTACGCCTGTCCGTTCTTCAGAAGAAGTTGTTTAAAAGAAAAGTTGACGGACGAGGACGGACGGACGGACGGACGGACGCCGTGCCACGGCATAAGCTCACTTGGCACTTCGTGCCAGGTGAGCTAAAAATTACAATGAATTTTTCTTCATCCACAGATAAATACTAACGTGGTTCATGTAATTTTCCTGTAATGCAGTTGGCATTTATGATGCCTATGAACCGCATCTGAAAGCAGTTAAATGTTTAAATAAACTTAAAAAGGTATTTCAATCCAACTCAGAGGACATTATCTGTTTTGTGATGCTATTGTTAAAGTGTCCGATACTATACACTAAAACAAGACAGGCTAACCTTTGACCTCTATAACATTTCTGTAATGTTATTCATGTAAATACCAGCATTTTTATCAATCATAAACTACTTTATCCCATAATGAATATGATTAGCTACATTTCAGCTTCAATATTCGTGATCTGGGAGAATGGCTCACACAAAAAACACCATTATTGCATTCCAGAGAAAAAGATGGGTGGTCAACATTTCTCCAATAAAACCACTTAGTGTCGACATTGAAAACTTAATGGAATTCAGTTTAAATATTGTTTTAATGATGGTACATAGTCAGTGTAATACACTGTTAACTGTAGACATGTGTGACAGGGAGGTTTGTGATAGGGGGGTTGTCTAGTGCATGTAGTATAGGGTAAACTACAGGCACTCATTATTTACCTAATTAAGATCTTTTCCTAATTATAAACACCACAAAACATACACACAGCTGACATGCCTGTGACATTATATATCTAACAGTTTATATCGTGACTGTTTCAAAAATATCTACCCTTCTTCAAATATGTTGTCATGCACTTACCAAAACTACTTCAAACATGTTGTCATGTTTTTATGGAGACTGCTTCAAACATGTTTTCATGTAATTACCCAAGTTGCTTCAAACATGTTTTCATTTAAGTATCCAGGCTGCTTCAATTGTGTTTTATCCAGACAACTTCAGATATGTTGTCATGTAACTACCGAGACTGCTTCAAGCTTGTTGTCATGTAACTACCCAGACTGCTTCAGATATGTTGTCATGTAATTACCCAGACTGTTTCAGATATATGTTCATGTTATTACCCAGACTGCTTCAGATATGTTGTCATGTAACTACCGAGACTGCTTCAGATATGTTGTCATGTAATTACCCAGACTGATTCAGATATGTTGTCATGTAATTACCCAGACTGTTTCAGATATGTTGTCATGTAATTACCCAGATTGATTCAGATATGTTGTCATGTAACTACCGAGACTGTTTCAGATATGTTGTCATGTAATTACCCAGACTGCTTCAAACGTGTTGTCATGTAATTACCCAGACTGCTTCAATAGATGATATCGCGACCAGTGGAACTCTTCAAATAGGAGGGGATTTAACTGTACTCGCTGGGGCAACGGATATATAATCAACATGGCAGCGCCAAAACATTCATATACAAATTTTCACGAACTTCCATGTAATGAATTGGGTAATATTGTAAAGTCAAAAGGTATCACCTACTCCAAATAAGAATAAGGGGGAGCTAGTACCCCTATGATAGCCAGCAGACATGTTAAATTGGCCAGATATTGAAAAAGACAACGAAGCTAAAGCGTCACAGTTGTGACGGACCGTCAGCGGTGTACAGAGTATCGTGTGTTACCTTTATGTAAATGAAATGTCAGAAGGCTTGTTTTGGACGAACAATTTGATTGGAATGTCATTACTAAATGCATTTGATGTGACCTCTATTCTTGTGAATTATTTTTGTTTGTTCAATACAGTGAAGGTGGGGCATATTGTTTACACATGGCAGATTGTTTTGCCCCCGTATCCTCGCATTCTCTTGCAAGACTTGTGCATTTTCCGGCAAGAACTCTTCGAAGGGGAGAAACTCGTGGATTGTCGTGATAACAAGTATTGTGTTTTCAGGGAATTATTCAGACAACTTTAATCATTTGTTCATGTAATTACCCCAAATGCTGTCAAATTAATACACAGACAGCTTCAACACATTGTCATGTTAATACCAAAGCTGTTTTAGACATGCTATATAAATATCTAGGCCATATCAAACACATATTTATGATTTAAACACTCAGGTGCCTGAGTGGATGTGTACCTTATGTAACATGTCAGGTGAAGAAACTTCATATACACGTTATAATATCCAATAGAAGTCACTAGTATCACAAATAAAGCCAGAAGCCCATTGGACTTGCATTACTCATGTATTTCATTATATCATAGATATAGCATTGTGATGTGGGTAGCAGATTAGACTTACAATGAGAGGACATGGCTACCGAGGATAGTCAGAGCTATACAACATCCATCCTATATCACACAAGTGTGTCCCAGTGTACCTACATGTATAGGTAGGGAATAAGAACGGGAGAAACTACCATAAAATACACAACAAAGTCAAAATATTAAATTGCATCATATTTTCTTTACTTTTTTAAGAGAAAACAATTCACCACTGCAGATGTTGTTATTTACCTTAGGATTAAACAGTAAAACATTTAAGGAGGCATATATCAATATATGATGAACTATTTATAGATTCGGTTACATCATCGCACTAGATACCAGCGTGTTTATCACTGGACTTCGCTTCCCTAGTTTACTAACAATACACAAACGAATGACATCACATTGGTCACGAAGTGAGTCACTCAAGCATTGGGCCATGCTCATCAGTTTCAGGGTCCTGTAGATGTTTGGAAACACTGTCCTGTACCATGAAACTTCCAAGAATGGTGATGATACAGTCACTACTTCCTGTGCTTCAATAGATTTGTATAAGACATCTAGGATTTCCTTGAATATTGTTTCCATATCTGACAAACAAAATGTAGCAGTTTCAGGCTTTTGTAGTTTTACAAAATGTTTGTCTATTTCTTGGGAGGGAAAATGTCTTTCACAATACCTGACCACATTGTCAAGTTTTGTGCTATTTTTATGTGTAGAGTTGTCTCCCCTAGCTGCCATGCCATCAGACTGATTGCTGTTAGAAAAAGCCTCTGTTAGATCTTGACCACCGGTCAGTTGAAGAAGAAGAGTGGCCAGATGCTTGATGATAATTTGGACATATATAACATCCTCCCTGTAGGTGTTCATCTCCCCCTTGTCAAACAGTCTCTCCTCAACATCCTAAATAAATCAATTTTAATCAAAAACATGTAATTAATATGCAGTAAAGAGACATTTGAATAAGTTTGCAACTTTAACATCTGTTTTAACGTTAAATTAGCTTTATTTTTTGTTTTCAATTTTCTTACTTTATTTAAGATTACATGTATATTTTCCCACTGATCTGATATCAAGTGTTATAAGATTTAACAGTAAGCGTTTTTCATTGGACACATAGCGTAACAACAGTATATTTCTAAGAAGCATTCTTATAGAATTTTGACACTCTACAGACTCCCACTAAAATGGTTAGTAAGCTATATCCCTTGGTACCTGGTTTCTTGTATGGTATTGGACAAGGATATTTTTTCTAAATTCAAGGGTTTTAAGTTTTTACCTTGCCTTAATATGTGCACAATCAATGTATATATCCACAGCCAAATCATTTTATTCATTATTCAAACAAGTTGTATAAACGCCACAATTTTTTTTTGACTAGCTACATATTATAGGCCTATATAAGTCTGATTATGTTTTTTATCATTTGGCATTTATATTCAGAAAGTTCTTGCACAAGTGGCATTTTGGACCACTGTGGCCTTGAAAGTAGATCAAGGTCATTTATTGGTTGAAAGTTTATGGCCCTCCATTTCAGGTACCTTTTGGCCAAATATCATTACTCTAGGCCTCTTGGTTATTCAGAAGAAGTTGTTTAAAATCTTTTTAACACATTTGACCCTTGTTATCTTCAAAGTAGGTCAAGGTAATTCATTTGACCCTAGGTCATCCAGTTCTTGAGAAGAAGTTGCTCAAAGAAACAGTTGATGGACGATGAACGACACACCATACCATAAGCTCCCAGACACTTCGTGCCAGGTGAGCTAAAAGAAAACATATATGTGAACCTTGTAAAGTACAAATGGGACAATAGCTATAAATACATACACTATTGTCCGAATCCTCTCCTTTTATCCAGTTGACCAGAGTGGACAAGCATCCCTTCCATCTCGTCGTAGTACCATGACAAATGACCAACTGACCAATCAACAGGTCCAGTGATAGGAAGGGTTGTACTGTACCTGTAAAAATAACATTGTATATAGGTGAAGGTAGGTGAATATGATGTCACTTACACAAACAAAATCTACCAGACATTAGACATTATTTACTTAGGTGAATATCCATCTAGGAAGCTGTAGTATGGTAAAACCCTAAACAGATCAAGCAAACATATTTCTGAATAAAGTAACTAATTCTATTCATCAAATTGTCTCAAAGAGAGTTACCTGGTAATATTTCTCAAATAAACTGTTTATCAAATTGATAAGCTTTCTCTCCATGATTTATAGCATTGTGATGTAAGGAGTTAGTACTTCCAGTGTCAGCACACAAGTACCTAATTAAAGCAGATCACTTGATGAACACAGTAAGAAAAGCTTTGAGGAGAAAATAGATAGAAGAATATAGTTTGGGCAACCAAATAAATGTGCAATTTAGTATTTTGCAAATTACATACAAATTTTATTTGTTTTTAGTCCCGGGGTAATTTGTTTTCAGCTATCAAAATAAGTTTGTGAGAAATATCCTGTCTCAAACTTCCTCATTGAAAACAAAATGCTTTAGCAGGTTCAAACTGTAGATGGCTCACATGTGGAAATATGTAATTAAAAATGTCATTGAAGTGTATTTGTCAAAGGATCCATGTTGGGTCCTGATAGGTTTGGGTAGTGACATCACAAGTTGGATTGAAGATTGAGAAAGGCTCACCTCTTGTCTCACAAAGTTTGGACAAAGCCTCAGTAGCCACCTGCTTTACTTGCCCATCATCCTCCTGGAGTAAATTGACCAAGACTGTCCAAAACTCAAAGGTCAGGTCACCTGTATAAAATCAATAGTAGGTAAGGTATAATGTCAGGCTACCTGCATAAAAATTGATACCTCTGTAGAACTTAATCATACATCTGCTAAATGACATGGTGTATTAAAATGAATGGAAGACATGGGTTATAAGAGCCACTACCATCCACCAACTAGGTGACTGTATTGTATAGGTATCGTGAACAGAATTGGGGTCCTCAGGGCCACAACTGATTTGTCAAAAGGACTGCCATGGAACTTTAAACATTTAAAACCACATTCTATCTTAAATGCAATAATATTGTATTATGTAGTTAAAAAATTAATGATGATTTTTTATAGATTTTCTTACCATTAAATTTGTTGTGGAACATACCTTTGCTTCAAGCAGCTAATACAAAGTTTTTACCCATTAATATTTTATGGTATTTTATTTAAAATTACATTACCTCATTCGGGAAAGGAAAGCCAAAATGTACTGATATGTCAAAATTTGTGCACTACTTTCTTCAATTCAATGTACCGGTATTTCAATAATCGCTTGAGCAAAAGTTCAAAAAAAGGAAAAAAAAAAAAAAAGTAAGCTATTGCACCCCCCCCCTCCAAAGTACACCATACATTGATATAATACTACTACCATCATTACTAGGTCTACAATAGGGTCCGTCAGAACCTTATTTTTTCCCCAATATATAAACATTTTACGGTTGTTAATCTGTATATGATATTGCCTGTTAATAAGATACACAGAAAACTATGGTGGGTAGGATGTGATTGGAGGTGGGTTTTTATATCAGTAATAGTTTCCATTGTAAAACTACAGTTTGAAAATGGGTATTGAAGTTACTGGAAGGAAAGAACTATAGCAGACATGCTACAACCCAGTACTGGCTTCAGAAGAGTAATATTCTCAGACGATCATTCTCTGCGGAATTTTATTACTCTATAAAATATGTTACTGGATTTCTTCCCTAGTCCTATGATAATACTGTACTAAAGACACCCTGTTCTCCGTCTGGGCAGGACAACAATGGACTTTACAGAACAATGACCATTCTCAATACACACCTATAGACCGGAACATTTAATCATCCCTCTGTGTACAGGCAGATATACTTATCAGGGACTAATTAATTACGGGAGATTACGTAACAAGATGACCAGATAGATAGGTATTGTGGGTGTATATCTTGATGTCTGCTAGCTAACAGAGCGTCTGGACCTTAGTGCTATAATCGTTATCTAACGACTCCCTAATTAACACCAGCCCGACAATTTGTTTTGAAGTAACTGATACAGACTTCAACACATATTAAACTGATTTAATAAGTGATTTTTATTACACATACCTATGTCAGATTTACTATAAATTAATATGAATTGTACTAATTAATTATATATATATATAAATAGGCCAAGGACTGACCAAGCCTAAAACACATACCTGCAAGTACCTGTTCTTTATTGCAAAAATGTTTAATGATATACATGTAATTAATTTACATGCACATAATACCACGAGTTCTAGAAGGAATTGACCCAGTCCAGTCCAGCTACACATAATACCACGAGTACTAGACAGAATTGCCCCAGTCCAGTTCAGCTACACATAATTAATGGACATGCACGTTCAGTTAAATACGTTTTATTTATGTCTAGTTTTATAAACCCTCTCAAAGTATTTTGCTCAGAAACTTTCCTAGAACCATAATAAGAGTGTCAATAAACAGGGCGTCTAGTGAGTAAAGTACCCAGAGACGTCTAGTGAGTAAAGTACCCAGAGACGTCTAGTGAGTTAAGTACCCAGAGACGTCTAGTGAGTAAAGTACCCGGTACAGGAATGTATATGTATCTAGGTCAATTTCAGCAACATTGTAAAATATCTTGATCAGACTTTCAGTTTAACTTCCCTAGCAACATGATCTGAGTTTCAGTAAATCAAACTTCTCTAAAACCAAGACTTTCGAAAAGTTGAACATTTCTTGCAGCATGATCAGAGTTATTAGGTGACAATTTAATACCTGAATTCAGTCACCAGCCCACATCAATATTCAAATGTTGCATGCATGGCACGATTCAAACAAAAACATGTGGCATATTTAAATTTCTATAAGACATAAAAGAGGTTAAATAAAGATGAAGTCATTTGACAATTAAGTTACTTTTTGAACCACTTTTCTTCAAAAGTATAATACAAATTTATTTACATCCAGCGTATATAAACTAATTATCTCTAATATGAATAGTTGTCCTAGAGTCAAAGTCTGAAAGGGAATTATTTTCCCAGCCAAAATTAGATAAGTTTGTGTACGTTGTAAGAAGTCCTGCTTGAGACTCAATCATCTGTATCCACCTGTCCCTCTCTGGTGCAGTTTATTTTCCCAACAATCATTAAATCCTGGCAAAAAATGACTCAAATCATCTTGATCAGCAGTTAAAACGATAGTGATATACTTACAAACATTGATAAGATTTTCTGTTACAAGATAAAACAATGTGTTTCTCTATTGCTGCGCCTGCATGAGGGTGGGAAAGCAGGAGAAAGCGGGAGAGTTGAGGGTGCTATTATCAGGTAATTAGACCTATCCAGTAAGTGTAGATCACTGAGGGGTTATAATCACTGGATACACCTCCACACCGCTGTAGGGGACGCTACACTACTGCACAGAATTTGTGTGAGTAAGACCATCTAGTCTGTCTTGTAATGTGAGTGTAAGGTAAGATAGTCTAATGGATGTAATAATGTGATGCTTTTATAGCTCATGGCATCCTTACTACCATGGATGCAACCAAACATGCCCAACTTTGTAAGTATAACTGAATTGCTGAACATGCCTATTTTTAAGATCACTTTCATCTAAATAGCAGTGCAGAAAGAGTAGCAGATTTTTCCTCTCTATGGTTTGATTATGATTAACTATATTTACATTGAAATCTTAACAAAGAATTAATTTAGCTTGACCAACGAATTAAATAATCTAATTCCGTGGTTTTACTATGATTTCCTGTCTTTGCATGTTGATGTTAATCCAGATTGTCACCAGCTGATTCTTATGAAATTCAATGTACACCAAGGGTTTATCTTAGTTGTGTTAACTAAAGGGTTTGTGTGTTGGATAATCATGATTGCATGGGTAGTAATCAGTATATCAATGCATGGAAAATGATTTCCTGGGTACAAGTAAAATACAATACACTGTACTGCCAAATCATGCCTAGATATTGTACAAAATATCACCCTCAGGCCCAATATGGTATATAATATCACCCTCAGGCCAGATCTGGGATATGATATCACCCTCAGGCCAGATATGGTATAAAATATCACCCTCGGGCCAGATATGGGGTACAATATCACCCTCAGGCCAGAGATGATATACAGTATCACCCTCAGGTCAGATATGGAATACAATATCACCCTCGGGCCAGAGATGATATACAGTATCGCCCTCAGGCAAGATACTGTATACAATATCACCCTCAGGTCAGATATGGTATACAGTATCACCCTCAGGCCAGAAATTGTATAAAATAGGCCAAATATAGTATACAGTATCACCCTCAGGCCAGATATGGTATATGATATCACCCTCAGGCCAGATATGGTATAAAATATCACCCTCAGGCAAGATACTGTATAAAATATCACCCTCGGGCCAGATATGGTATAAAATATCACCCTCAGGCAAGATACTGTATAAAATATCACCCTCGGGCCAGATATGGTATAAAATATCACCCTCAGGCAAGATACTGTATAAATATCACCCTCAGGCCAGATATGGTATACAATATCACCGGCGGGCCAGAGATGATATACAGTATCACCCTCAGGCCAGATATGGTATACAGTATCACCCTCAGGCAAGATACTGTATAAAATATCACCCTCGGGCCAGATATGGTATAAAATATCACCCTCAGGCAAGATACTGTATAAAATATCCCCCTCAGGCCAGATATGGTATACAATATCACCCTCGGGCCAGAAATGATATACAGTATCACCCTCAGGTAAGATACTGTATAAAATATCACCCTCAGGCAAGATACTGTATAAAATATCCCCCTCAGGCCAGATATGGTATACAATATCACCGGCGGGCCAGAGATGATATACAGTATCACCCTCAGGTCAGATATGGTATACAATATCACCCTCGGGCCAGAGATGATATAAAGTATCACCCTCAGGCCAGATATGGTATACAATATCACCGGCGGGCCAGAGATGATATACAGTATCACCCTCAGGTCAGATATGGTATACAATATCACCCTCGGGCCAGAGATGATATACAGTATCACCCTCAGGCAAGATACTGTATACAATATCACCCTCGGGCCAGATATGATATACAGTATCACCCTCAGACCAGATATTGTATAAAATATCACCTTCAGGCCAGATATGGTATACATGCTCACCATCAATGTCAGATATGGTAAACTGATGCAGCCAGGTATAATAAACAACAATTTAACACCTTAGCATTTTCAAAATTACAAAATAGTAAAACAAAGTGGGTGGTAGGAGAAGGGACAGGCTACAGTATCCCATGGTGTGGTGCCCGGGGCTATGATAAGTCTATACCTGAGGGAGATACAAGGTTATCATACCTCTGGGGTGATATATATACCCTTAACACACATATTGCATCTTAATTATCTCATAAATCCTGATAGACAAGCCAAGTGATATCAGACTAAATTAATTTCACATCGATATTTTGATAAAAGTCCTCAGACATCTTGTTAGGGTGGCCAGTAGGTGACTTGGAAGTGTTAGAGGGGACAGTCCACAGAAACATGACTTGAACTCGTATCAAGAAAATCAATTTAAAGTCACTTAGATGTTTAAATTTGTTTATCTGTGAAGTAATCAATGATGGGAATATTTTATAAAATAAATTAGAGAAAAATGTCCATGAAGGTAAAAGTAATCTTCAGGCCATCACCCGTTAATGTTGTTATCACTGGGGAAGGCCACCACATGGCGCTGGGGGATTCCCCGCTGTGAT